AGTTTAATTTAAAAACAAAAAATATTACAATTTTCTTATATGCAATATTTTTTTTGCAAACCATTAACAGAAACTAATATAAAGTACCAAAAACTGCAATTATTTACAAAAATAATTTTTCCACCATCTTCGAGAGAGGCCAATAAAAAATCCTTTTTATTGTTTTAATTTAGTTTTCTTTCCTTTCCATTTTGTCAATTTGAAATTTTCACATTTTTCCAACAATTTTCTTCTTGTTTTCATTTATTTGATTTTCCTAATGCTGTGTAACAACGCTTCGGTATAAAAGAATGGAACAATAAATTTTAATTTCGTTTACAATTTTGTCATGCACTTTATTCTTTGGCGTGTATAAGGATTGAAAAAAAATTAAAATAAAAAGGATCTTTAACATTTTTTTCTTCTTCATTTTATTTTTCAATTCTTTTTTTTTTCTTTCTTTTGATTCTATTTTCCTGCTTCATACTTATGTGTATTTTTCCAGCTTTTAGCCTTTACGAAAATTCTTATAAGTGAAGTGATGATGGTGTGAAACTGTGTTATGTGAATTAATGGTATACTTGCACGTATATGTTCGTATTGGGTGTTACATTACCATTATTTTAAAATACATTATGGTTCTATTTTAATGTAATGCGCTTTTATTGCATACATTTCCGTTTTTTTGGTCTTTTTGTAAATTCCCAACAGATATTCCCAAAAATTTTGATTTCTTTAGATTCGTTTGAATTCAGATGAAGTCTTCGAAAGTAATTATTTTTTGAGTTTTTTACATTTTCTAATTTTAAAGGAGAAACTTTAAATCTAACTAAGTTCGTTACCACACCAATTGAGGAAGCCATTTAATTTTAATAGGAAGCATTTAATATTTAGCAAACGAACTTTTTCGAAATTTGGTGCAAAACTTTCTGCATAATAGAGAAAACAGCTCATATTAATCTAATGCTTAGTTGTGTTATGGATTTTCATTTTATAGAGCAAACCTCTTATGGCAGAACACTTTAGGTTATAGTCGTGCATACAGAACTATATACCTTTGGCTTATAAAATAGTAATGCTCAAAAAAGGGCTATTAAATTGCTTTGATCAGAATAAAAGTTTTGGTTCAGGATTATAGCGTCTATGTTAGTCTACTGGCATTAAGTTTTTATAATCTTTTAATATTTCGGAATATTCTTTGATTACTATTAATTTGTAAATGCAATTAAATATTTTATTAACAATAACATTTATCTGACGGGTATTGTAAGCAATAGTGATTTTGTAATGAAAATTGATACAGAAAAGTAACAATGTGTTCCGACATTTTGAATATCTTTCTGACTTCCCTCATCGCATACAATATATAACACTAATACATATGAGTATGTATTACAAATGCATTAATATTCATACATACCGGCATAAATATAATATTTTATTTTTATAGTTATCCTTTAGTTAAAAATAAATTTACATTATACGTTAACACAAATCAGGGCAAAACGAATAATAGAATTTCACCCAGAATGAAAATGAAATTTTATCTGATGCTTAAATAATATTTGACAATAGAAAGACAGTAATGGATGTTTCTTAATTGAATATTTGGATATCTTGGAAAAAAGAGAGATATGAATTTTAAGTTTCGAATATAAAATTATGTGAATGTCACAGAATGTCGGCAAACAATCGTGCACATAAAACTTACATACATATATATAATAATTATATTATGTATATATACAAAGAATTCCACATAATGTTTAAAAAGAAAAATGTTAGATATTACTTTCATTGTATGTAGGAAAAAAGGACCTTCGTCGTAATTTATTGAGCATAAATTTGAATACTGGAATTTTTCATTTCATTACAATTTGTTTAAACTTAAAAATGGAAACCATAATGCCTAATTAAAAGCAAAGTAACAGTTTTATTTGATTAAGGCAATAATTTTGAAATTTTTGAAGATTTTAAATAAACGATGAGTAATTAGAGAAGGATTTATTAATATCGTCCGTAATTATTGTTGTTTTTTTTGGAAGTTTATGATGACTTTGAAAAATACTGGAAATTTTCAAATCTTAAATAATTAGGATTTTCGTTTTAACCTTGCCATATTGCATCATTTGTAGTATAGCAGTTTTTTAAATTAGTTTGGTATTGCAACATGTGCATATGTTCAAATGAATTTCACTAGATCATTTCTTTTGAAGTGGAAAAAATAATGATAAACTTTGCCTTAATTGCAATAATGAAATTAAAGTTCCGCATCTAATTTTTTGAAATCATGCTGTATTCAATGTGCAAATTTTGTGTTTTGCAAATATTTAAAAATCAGAAAAAATAAATAATTGGTAAATAATTAAAGTTGAATTTGAATCAATTGGTGCTCTGCAAATTCGAGTTCAATAATATATCATCAATGTTTGTTATATAAACGGAGTAGTATTTACATATTTTGTGAACCTATACACCTCAATTCTCAAATTAAAGCAAAAGTGTTAATTATTTTTGTAAGAGTTCACCTTGAATTTGATAATTTTCATGTTTTTTTTTATATTAATCAATCGCCATTCAATGACCCTAAGAACGGAATATTGTTCTTGAAATTTCAAAAATCAAAGTTCAAAATTAAAGCAAATTTGCTGCTTTTCATTTTCATACCAAAGTTTTTATTTTTTTTCTTTTTTAGTAATTTTTAATTTAAATGAATTTTTCAAAAATACTTTTGCATCCGAAAACTTTTGATAAATTTAATTAGAATTTTAATATTATGCTAATAATATTTTTGTTCACTTAAAGAACATAGAAAACTTCGTGGAAGGAAAATATTTCAAATTTCAGTAAATATTACAGAAAAAATTCTTTTGGTGAATGTTTTTTAATAAAATATTTGCATCAACAATATTTTCTGGTGACCTTTTAATTATTTATAGAAATATAATTGTTTCAACTATTAGTGCTATAAAATAAATTCTATAATAAGTGGTTTATCATCACTGATTGGAAATTTTATAGAGTAAATTTCAAAAACTTCTTAAAATTACTGTAATAATGCGTTTGACAGGGAAGGTTAATTAAAAGTACTTCAAATAATCAAATAATTTGTTATAGTGTATAAAAAGTTCGCATTTTTAAGTTCACGCATCGGATTTTTCCACAAAAAAGCGTTTGTTTATTTGAATTATAAACTTGGATTGGACTCGAATCTCGGGTCATTATAATATTTTTAATGTGTTGAGGAGTACAGGGTATTTTTCTAAAGAGCTGTACTAGACAAGGAAATTAATTTTGAGATTCGTTCTGTATGAAGTAATTTTTTTAAATATTTTTATATTAAATATACTCGTTGAAAGCCTCTGTCTAGTAGTCTAGCATTTATCATAGGAGGAATAGTGCTTTTGGACTTCAATTTTTAATTTCATTCCAATAATTTCAATCTCCCCCTCTTTTCTTACAAAATTGATATGTTCTATATTAACATTGACATTTTCCAAAATTATCACTAAAAATTTAATCATCTTTTTGCTCTCATTCAATCACCTTTAAAAAAAAAAAATTTCCAATGAATTTTCCAATGTTTCCCACGTGTCTGTCGCCTTGATACACACTGTCGAAAAATTATTTTCAATAATTTGAATATATAAAAAAAAAAATTTCAAAGTAAATTTGGCCGCCATATAAATTTATGTTTCATGTTGGTTTTTCTCATTTTATAAATCAAAATAAATTTTAAAAAAATTATTTTTTAGAGGTCACCAATATGAACACAAAAAGGGAAATAAAAAAAAAAATTTATAACGATAATTGGAATATTAAATATTTTTAATTGTATTTGTCATTAGTGCATTTTTAACTTTATTTTCATTTTACTGTTTATTTAAGCCCCATTATTGTTCATTTTTTTATTATTTTTTTGTTAAAAAATAAAAAAATGAAGTAAACATTTATAAAAATCATTAAAACAAGTAGAAAATCAATCATGATTTATTTTCCAATATTCTTGTATGTTCAGTTTTCAATTTTATAGACAATAATAATTGCGCAAGAACGTTCTATTGAATTTTTCGAAAAGGGGGCAACCTTAAATATACTTTGAGATATTAAAGCGCTTATCGAAAATCAAAGATTCAAAAATAGTTTAAACATATCGAAGGAAACTGAATTATTAAATGTTTAACTTACACTTTCTTCCAGAAGGGCTGTAGATCCCGGTCCTCGAAGAAATATGGAATCAAATTACTTTAGTAAGTGGTATATGCAAATATTGGTCAAAAAATTTTAAAGAAGTGTAAGGCTTACTTAAACAAACTTAACAAAACAAATTTAAAGAACCATAAAACTCATTCCATTGATTCCTCCTTGGATTATCTGATTACTTTTCAAAAAGTATTGTTTTTTGTATAATTCCAGTAAAGGAGCATTTCTTGTATAATATAAGTAGTGTGACTGTGATAAGATAATTTAGTACAGATTATTGGCTTTTCTCAGCATAACAATAGCCTTTTCAACCATAATACGTAAACATAAACTTCTATTTTGGGAGAGTTTATAAAATTAAGACCTCTTATAGGATTCGATTTGCACTACCTTTTTCCACTTTTATTGGGGCAAAAACCAAATCTTAAAATATTTAAAAATCACAATATATTTCGAAGAAATAGAAATTTGTAGACTTTTTTCCAAAGTGATTATTGCCATTTCAATTAAGAATTAAATTCCGGTTTTTTAAACCAAAATTCAGTTCAGGTCTGTCTTGAGACGCTCATGAATTCATTATAATTGTATACCCATGCATGTATTATATAAGTCTATACATAAAAAAATTCACAATATTTACGATGATATTTGCAGAGATGAGAATCTTCTTATAATATAATCTTTATATATGAATATATATATATATATATTATACGTAATATTATATAGTAATACATAGCCAATCAATAAAAAGATAAAGAATGGCGAAACATAAAAATTGAACAAGAAAATAAAATCAAAAAAAAATTGCAACTCACCTGAAATCCATCGTACGTCCATGAACCAAATTTCATTTCACATCGTTGATCATCGAACGGAAACCATGTAATATCAATTTTACACGTTGATTTAAATATTCCTGGCGGTACATATAAACAGGAACCATTATTACGGACGACAACATTTGTTTGATAGGTTCCATCGAAACCTTCATCAGCACTGTAAATATTTACAAAAAGAACAAAAAAATGAGAAAAAATTATAAAAACAACATTATAACAATATAAAAATAAGAGAAAAAAGGAGAAATGAAATAAAAAATTATTCGACAAGAGGGAAAAAAAAGTAATATTGAGAAAAAATCTTGCAGGAAATTATAAAAAAAACAAAAACAAAAATGGCGATGGATAAACGAAGTAACGATACAGAAAGAGAATGGAATTTTTTTTGTTTCTCTTTTTTTTCTTTTGTTTTATATTGAAATTAAATTTTTTTTTCTTCTACCATTCTTTCTCTTTTTCTTATTTATTATTAATTGAAATTATCATGCGATTGGAACAGATTTATTGAACTTGCTTGTATGTATGTGTGTATACTTGTATTAAGTATTGGTTTGTGTGAATATTTTATTGAAATGAATGCATTATTATGTAAGAGTTTAAATATGTGTTTGTACCTTGATATTTTAAGATAAAACAAAAAGAAAAAACAAAAAAAAACAAAATGAAAGAAAATCGTTTAACTCGTTATAATGCGATTAAATAAATTGAAGTAATTTTCAATGTTTGGTTGAATGATTGCATCAAATCGTTCGAAATAAATTATCCTTTTATAATAACAATATAAAGTTAATTGATTACGTAATATGTAGGAGATTGTACTTATCGCATAACACTTATGGGGGATGTGCGTGTGTGTGCCAAAATAATAACGAAAATAAGTTGAATTTCTTAAGTTAAAAAATCTTAAAAATATTTGATTGTATAATTATATCTTTTACTGTCTATGTATGTAAGAGCTAGTAATTTTTGTCCTACTGTCGAATTTGTTCATACAATTAAGTATCTGAAAAATAACTGTAAATGCGGAATAAAATTTATTACACAATTTGTGAAAGTCTAAGTAAAGTTAGGTTATGATCAATCTATACTTAAATAGATTTAAACTTGTTTAAAAAATGGTATAAGAATGAAAGAGTGTTTTGAAAAAATTCACTTTTTTGAATTAAAAGACCCCATAATTTTTCAATTGTTTTATGAAAAATTCTTGGGTATTAGCTATATTTTGCAGCATATTGTATAATTTGTCTCAATTCAAAAATTCTTATTTCTGAACAATCCGAACTGATGGTAACTGTTGTTTCAAAATTTAGTAGGGCGGAAATTATTGCATAATAGTTATAAATTTATTACTACAGTTTTAGCGGCGTATGCTTTTTGTTAAGAAGTTCTGCACGAATTTATATTGTGAAGAATTCTGCAATATGAAAGTAAAGTTTATGCAAAAGTTATATGCAAAGATGTCTTCATTTGTGGAATATGCAAGTTATATATTCGCTTACGCCCGGAACACCAAAATAAATAAAATTTAACTATAACTAAAATTAAATCGAACGTTGCGATCAAATTTCCATACTTTATTACTTAAACCTATTCTAAATCATTTAATCGCAACGTGATTTGACAAAAACAAAATATTTATTTTAAATTAAAATTAAAATTCAACGTTGCAATTAAACTCCTATATGAAATCATTTAATTGCAACGTGATTGAACTTTTACAGACAAAACTAAAGCAAAGTTCCAAATATTCAAATTACAATATTAAAACTTTCCCATGAGAATTATTCTAAACAATTTTTTGCTTACTAAACAGTTATTTCTTATAAATAGAGTAAATTCAATAGCAACTTGGCTTGGTTGGTAATTCAGTAGCTCGTTAGTTATTAAATCGTTTTGCCGTTTAGAAAATAAAGATTTAAAAATAAAGTTAATAAGTTTGGAATTAGAAATTAAAGTGTAATTAATTAATAAATGAAATAAAAAGAACTTTTATAAATCTTAAAATATTTTTTGTGTAAAGTAAAAACTTATAGTTTAATTTAATAAGTTTGGAATTGGAAATTAAAGTGTAATTAATTAATAAATGAAATAAAAAGAACTTTTATAAATCTTAAAATATTTTTTTGTGTAAAGTAAAAACTTATAATTTAATTGGCGCAGTCGGTAGGATACCGACTCCGTCTATAAAAACAAAAAAAAAAAAAAAAAATCTAAACAAAAAAAAAAGAAAACACTAATATTTTTCTTAAGTCAATTTAAATGAACAAAAAACTAGAAAATAAAATAGTGTAATGCTCAAACCATTAAGCAAAATTAAATAATAATAATAAAAAAAATTTTGTGGTGAACTGAGTGATAAAAGTTTAGTTGTGTAAAGGCGGAGAACTTTTTTCAAAAAGTTAATTCGGTAAATAAACGAACAAAAAATTATAAGTAAAACACAAATAAAATATCTATTAAAAGATCTTTAATCAAATCAAATTTTACAACTAATTAAATTGATAAAACAAAAATTATAAAAAGAAAAAAAAAAAACCAAAATATTTTTTTTTTTAACATTTATGAAGAAAAGTGAAAAAGAAAAATACTTTGATAATCTAAAAAATATACAAAAAAATTTTAACATGTCACTTGCTGCAATTACATTAAAAGACTTGATAGGCGAAGCTCGTTCAGTACCAATTTTTACTGGACAAGACGCCTACAGTCTAAAATCCTTCATCGAAGAAGTCGAAAGTTTAATTGCCTTAGCAGCGGATGCCGATGCAAAAAACTATCTATACAGAATTTTGTACAGCAAGATCCAGGGTCCTGCAGCGGCAGCAATCCGGAGAATTCAGAAAAAAACTTGGGACGAAGTAAAACAACAACTGAAAGCTACCTTCGGAGTACAGAAATCTTATTTGAAATTAAAAGAAGAAGCAGACTGTATAATTTTTAGAAATGTAAGTGATCTTTATGTTAAATTAAATTCCATATTAAATTTGTTAAATTTAAAATATGATTTGGATGACAATAAATCTTCAGAATTTAATCCAATTAATAATGAAAATTCAATATTAGAAAAATTTTTGAATAAATTAAATAGAGTAGACTCAATGTACCTTAGAACTAAAAATGTAACAACATTAGAAGACGCTTATAGAAGCTTATTAGAAACCAATATATCCGACAGCAAGGTTCCAAACACCAACTCTCAGTATAGGAACAATAATCATACAAATTACAGAAATAACCATAACATAAATTCTAGACATAGTAGTAATAATACAAATTCCAGAAATAACTATAGAAACGCAAATAGAACTTTCAACAATAACAATTACAATAACAACATAAGAAACACTTACACAAATAGACCAATGGACAGAAACTACACTACTAACGAAAAGTTTAGGAATTTTAGGCCCAACCAACAATTTGGTGGTACAGGTAATAATCTACCAGGACCATCTTATAACGAAAATCGGTCGAGTCCAGTTCCAATGGATGTGGATTCGGGTTCCACAGAAAATTTTCACTGTGGTCCCCCTATCCGACATTACCCTTAGTAGACTTAACAATGGAAGGCAAAAGGCTGACCTGTCTGATCGACACAGGATCAGTTACTTCAATTATAAACGGCAATATTTTTGATCGATCTAAACAAAACAAATTAGAAAATCCAATTCAATTAAAAACACTCGCAGGAAACCAAGCCATTAAATACGAAATAACTACAAAAGTACCTGACGAGTTCAATGAAAATTCAACTATGTCCTGGAAAGTAATGGATCTTAGCAATAAAAACTTTGACGCTCTCTTAGGCCAAAATATTTTAAAACCAATAGGAGCAAATATTAATCTTTCAAAGGAGCGGTTAGAAATTAACAACCGTAATATTAAATTTAATTCAGCTTGTCCTTTTGAAAACACTTGTCAAATAGAACCTTTACAAATCAACCATAATGAATTATTTGAAAAATTATTAAATAAAAATATGAATAGAGAAGAAATTAAATCATTAAAATATATTTTAAACTCTAATAAGGATCTTTTCTATAAAGAAGGAGATCGATTAACATGTGTCAAAAGTGTAAAACATCAAATAATTACAACTACTTCCCGACCGATTTATAGTAAAATATATCGGTTTCCAAAAATACATGAAGAGGAAGTAAATAAGCAAGTTCAGGAAATGTTAGAGCAAAATATTATTCAACCATCCAGTAGCCCTTATAATAGCCCTATATGGGTAGTACCCAAAAAATTGGACTACTCAGGGAAACAAAAATGGCGCATTGTCATCGACTACCGTAAATTAAATGAAATTACGGTTGATGACAAATTCCCGATACCGAATATAGATTCTATATTTGATAAATTGGGTCGCGCTCAATATTTCACCACTCTGGACCTCGCAAAGGGGTTTCACCAGATATTAGTGGATGAAAAAGATCGTCTAAAGACCGCGTTTTCTACACCGCAGGGTCACTTTGAGTTTGTACGGATGCCATTCGGACTAAAGAATGCTCCGGCAACTTTTCAAAGGATGATCAATTACGTTTTAAAGGACTTTATCGGGCGAATTTGCGTTGTCTATCTAGATGACATCCTTATTTTCTCTACATCACTACAAGAACACCTCTCAGCTATTAATAAAATATTTTCAAAATTAAGAGAGTTCAATCTAAAAATCCAAGTGGATAAGTGCAAATTTTTCTCTAAAGAGACAGAGTATTTAGGACACATATTAACACCAGAGGGAATAAAGCCAAACGAAGATAAAATTAATGTAATTAAACAAATCAAACTGCCTAAGACTCCCAAGCAGATAAAAAGTTTCCTAGGCATTACGGGGTACTATCGCAAGTTCATCAAGGACTATGCGAAAGTAGCTCAGCCTATGACTAAATATTTGAAAAGGGGAAATAAAATCAATGAAAATGATATACAATATAAAGACTCCTTTCAAAAATTAAAAGAATTGATTACAACTTATCCTATACTTCGTTACCCTGATTTTAAAAAGAAATTTGTATTAACAACGGACGCGTCCAACTTTGCAATTGGAGCGGTCCTATCACAAGAAAACCACCCAATCTGCTTCGCTAGCAGAACCCTTAATAATCATGAATGCAATTACTCTACTATAGAGAAGGAACTTCTTGCCATAGT